ATCAGGTTGCACAGGGCCTTATCAAGCCTCACCTTGAAAGTCTCCAAGGACGGGGCATCAACCACATCTCTGGGCAACCTGTTCCAGTGCCTCACCAACCTCACTGTAAGATATGTTCTCCTTATATCTAATCTAAATCCACTTCTTTGAGCTTGAAGCCATTTCCCCTTGTTCCTATCACCGCAGACCTTGCTAAAGAGTCTTTCCCCTTCTTTCCTGTAGCTCCCCTTTAGATACTGGAAGGCCTCTATCAGGTCACTTTGCAGCCTTTTCTTCCCCAGGCTGAACAGCCCCAGCTCTCTCAGCCTGTCCTCATAGGAGAGGTGTTCCATCCCTTGGATCATTTTTGTGGCCCTCCTCTGGTGTGCTCCAACAGCTCTATGTCTCTCCTGTACTGAGGACTCCACATCAGGATGCAGTACTCCAGGTGAGCCCTCACCAGAGCAGAGGGGCAGGATCACTTCCTTTGCCCTGCTGGCCACGTTTCTTTGGATATAGCCCAATATACAGCTAGCTTTCTGGGCTGTGTGGGCACATTGCTGGCTCATGTCCAGCTTGCCATCCACCCCTCTGGGAACGGAGACAGCACTGTGCGTATCCACACAGCCTCATGGAGAAAGCAGGACTGGAGGTACCTTTGCCTCGAACAAAAAGCCAGGTTTATGAGACGTGCCCAAACCCAAACCCGCCCACACGAGCAGCCTCCGGCCCAGAGCTGCCCGCACGCAGTAGCACGCGTACAGCCGTAACTCAGCACTCGGCCACGGGCTGCATTTCACAAGTGCCATCCTCGCAGGGAAGGGAGGCACATGGGGCTCTGCTCCGCAAGGGGCTTCCTGGGATGGTGCTTAAAGTCTCCGTCGGGCTACGAAGAGACAAAACCGCCCTCTGAAGCGCAGGGGATCGCAGGAAGGGAAGACAGGCAGAGGCAACACCAACCCTATTGAGCCGCCTCGGCCACAACAGGCAGCCGCGCGCTCACAACCCCGCCCCGCTAAAGGCGGCCGTGCGCAGCAGCAGGACGGTGCGAGAAGCTCTCGCGAGAGGCGGCGCGGAAACGTTCTCGCGAGAGGTGGAGCGGGGATAGGCGGTGCCCGCCGGGCGCTCGCTCCTTTCTGGCGGCCCGGCCATCTTGGTGGCGCGTGTCCGGTGAGTGGGGCTCGGCCGGGCGGGCCCGAGGAGCCGCTGTTCGGCGCTAACGCGACCCCCGCTCTTCCTGTCTTCCAGGTACCGCCCGACTTAACGGCAGGCAGCGACGATGGTGGCCGCAAAGAAGACGGTGAGTGGGAGCGGGCCGCGTGTGGTCTCACGTGGCGGCGGCCCGGCCTCCGCCGACTGCGGGCGCTGCGCGCTGTGGTGCGGCCGTGGTGCCGGGCCGCTTTGCCGGGCCTGAGGTAGGGAGGAGCGGCCCCGGGGCAGCGGGGGAGCTGCGCGCAGTTTGAGGCGCCTGGCGCGGCCCTTGGGCCCGTAGCTCTGAGCGCAGCACCGCGGCTGCTCGTTGCCGGCTTCTCTGTACTCAGTTCTCTCCTGTGCTCTTGGGTTCTCTGCCCCAGCCGGAGGCAAGGGAGGCTGCAGCTGTGTTCATAGCGTGGGTAAAGGGCCGCGCGTTCAGGCTTTGTATTTCCTAACTTCTGGTCTTAAATCTTAAAGCTGCTGCAGAAAGTACGAGTTTCACTTGAGATGGCAGTGTTCGTTATTCCTTATTGGCTGTCACACACCCATTGGAGGGGCTGCACCTGCTGCGTGTGGTTATTTGTTTCTGCCGACCAGTGGAACGCGTATTAGTGCATGCCCTGCAAAGTGCCAAAGTAGGAATGTGGCTCAGGTTTGCAAGGCAGGGGTAGTTTATATTTGAACATGACTGGCTGAGTTTTGCAAAGGCAAAATAAGTACTCCATGATGTGACTGGGTAACATAGGTGGCAATAGCAATGCTTTTCATTACAAGTAGAATCATAAGGTTGGAAAGGACCTACAAGATCATCTAGTCCAACCATCCACCCATTACCAGGTGTAATGCAGTAATTACTACATTACCAAAGTAATGGATAAGAGATATTTTGTGAAGCTGGCAAACAGCACCAGCATCTTGTGTACCCACAAGCTTTCTTATAACCGTATGGCATGCACAAATAACTGGGACAAGATTGTGATTGGAATTTCTTCACCTTACATTCTCTACCATACAGGTAAAATAACATGAAATGAAACTTAATTTTGCAGAAAAAGTCTTTGGAGTCCATAAACTCCAGACTTCAGCTGGTGATGAAAAGTGGTAAATATGTGCTAGGATACAAACAGACTCTGAAGATGATTCGTCAAGGCAAAGCCAAGTTGGTCATCCTAGCCAACAACTGTCCTGCTTTGAGGTAAGCAAATGTATGAAAAAAAATTCTTGTTAAAAACTAAGGCAGGTGCTTTGTAGAACTGCAGCATGTAATTCATGCAAGCTGGTAATGCAGAGTAGCTTGTAGACATACTCCACACTGCTTTGAAATAGACATGATGAGTTGTTTGGTGTGTACAGATCGTAGGTCTGGATGTGTTACAGTGGTTTCCAGCTGTTTTATAGATTTCTCATACAAGGAGTTCACCTTGCAGAAGATTCTGTAAGCTTTTTCACGTATGACAGCATAGGTTCATACCTGATCTGGTGGGAACTGTCCCTGCACACGACGAGGTTGGAGCTAAGCAATCTTCATGGTGCCTTCCAACCTTTCCAGCCTAAGCCATTCTGTGAAAGTGTAGTGAGACTCAGTTCCTGATTTATCAAAGTTGGATACTGGAAAATAATTTTACAAGTAGGAAAAACTAGATAGCAATTTAAAATATTTGAAGCGTAGAATTTTTTGTAGAAATGTTTGAAGCTGTTTTAGGGGAATGAAGTCTTCAGTAATCTTCATCTCCTGACACAGTCCTTATTGAACTTCTGGTCCCCTCCTGTCAGCAGTGAGTATCAACAGATAAAAGAAACTGCAGATACAGGAAAAAAAAGCCAACATAGATGCTTGAGAAATGGGGAGACTGTTTTATTTCCTGGCAGGAAATAAATGTGTTTTTCTAGGCAGAAAGATTCTGGATTGAAATATAATTGGGAATTTAAGCTGCTTTTGTTGTACAGTCAGTCAGATTGTTTGTCAGTACTTTAATACCCAATTCTTGAATCTTAGAAAATCGGAGATTGAATACTACGCCATGCTTGCAAAGACTGGTGTCCATCATTACAGTGGCAACAACATTGAATTGGGCACAGCATGTGGGAAATACTACAGAGTGTGCACGCTGGCTATCATTGACCCAGGTATGTGTCTCCTGCCATATAATGACCAAATTAGGTATGTATCAGTGATTCCTGCATTCACCTGTGAGTTGTAGTGCTTAACAAGTGAAGTGCAGAGGTATGGTCATATTTTGTTGGAGTTCTCCTTTGGGTTAAACTGTGATCAAGATCTATTTTTATTTTGTTAGTCCAAGAATCAGTTTCTTACATTTGCATACGGCTCCTTTTACTGTTCAACTTTGTTAATGTAGGATCTTGGTAAAATAAACTGCTGGATTGTGAGTTGTCTTATATATACAGAAGGAATAAGCTATATGCAGATGAATACTAATCCAGTACGGAATTGAAAATCATATTAAATGTTAAAACTTTAAATCTGTGCATAATTACTGTAGCTTGGTAGTACTCTTTGTTTCAGATAATTGTTCATGGTCATTCTAGAGACTATTGATTATGTGATTTCCTATCTTTCTTCTGAAATTTTATAAGACGAGAATCAAATTTATCTTACATCATTCTATTTGACCCAAAGCATCCCAATTAAATCCACACATGGATTTCTGTTTTAGCTACTCGCAGATGTTGTCCAAGTAACATCAGTTTAAATTTCCTGTTTCTTTAGAAACCTTTATTTAGCCTGTTGGTGTTCTGATAGTAGCTGTAAGCTTATGTGTAAGCTGAAGAAGTGGAGTTTAGTCTTTCTGCTGTGTAGTACGATGCGAATATTCTCGCTGTCCTGATATTGTGGTGATCAGGGGAGGCTAGACATTCGCTATATTAAAACTATGCATTGTGTCCTCCAGGACTGGACTGTTGCTCTAGTACTGGCTTTGAAAATGCTAGTGACATATATATAATTATCATAAGTATATTGTGCATGGTTTAGCAAAAATGCAGTTACAAGTATTTTTTTTTAAGTCATCAAAATTACTTTTTTTTCTGATAGACTGTCTGTGCACTGCTTGGATGCTTTGACTGTAGAGTCACTTGAATTTTTTTTTGCCTATTTCTGGGAATGGATATGTCTGTAGATCTTCTTGTAATAATGTATTTTTGTTTTACAGGTGACTCTGACATCATTAGAAGCATGCCAGAACAAACCAGTGAGAAGTAAATGCTGTAAAGGTGGTCTTTCTACAATAAACTGGTTTCAGATCTGTTTTAAGAAAAAATTGTATTGTATTATACTTCTGGTTTTAGAGAACAGACTATAAATGAAGATTCATTATCACTGCTGTCTGTCTTGTTCTGTTAGAAGTAACCTTCACAGGACAAAACTTGCCTGTTGCCTACTGTAGAAGTTGACCTTCGGTAGTAAGACCTGACCGTGGTAAGTATCAAATCCCAACAGGCTATGGCTTTCTTAAGTTTTGGTTTTTTTGGAGTGCTCATAGCAAAACAAGTTGTAATGAGATACTGGCAAATTTCTGATGTTGTTGGGAGACCCCACAGGATTTACTTACACTTAATTTTTTTAACACTTTTCTTTTTTTTTTTAACTTAGTCACAAGCTCTTAATGCAAATTACTCTTCTTGTCTCATCTTTCCAAGAGAATATGTATGTCAGATGCAAACAGACTAACTGCTAGACATGATGTATAACATTACACTTTCAGTAAGATACCAAATTGACATCTCCAAATTGGCCTGAAGTCAATACCTTTTTTTAAAAAAAAACTTTCTGAATGCACTGTGTAGAGTCTGACTGAGGTGATGTTCTCAAGTCACTGTTGATGAGGATGATGCTGTTTTCTGGATTTCTGCCTTTTTTTTTTTTTTTTGTGATCACAATTTGAGGATATGTTAGTGCTAGTGCACACTGCATGGGGTATAGCATTTTGCTGACATGTTGTTAAAGGAACACATAATGACAATCACTAGAGGGCAGCCTTGAAGAACTTGCATTCTATTTTCTGAAGTGTATTAAAATACAAGGTGCTTCTTTGTACATATGCGTGGTCATTAGATTATCTGTGATCACTTAAATCTAATTTTGCTGCAACTATATGTTTCTGGTGTGGAATGGATGTGGTTGTATATTTCAAGTTGGAGACAGTAAAGAGGCAAACCAGCACATGAAGCAAAGAAGGAATAGCTGGGGTATGCATCTATTAAAGTCCGGATTTGTATCAGTTCAGTAAACAGTTCAGGTACTGCTGTGGACGTGAAAATAAAGCTAGCAGAAGAGGGTTTCTGCTGCTAAGGGGGCAGAAGTAAAACTTCAGTTGGCCTTAAGGCACTTCCAGAATGGCTAGAAGCAACTTGCTGTTTCATTTTCATATTTGCATTTGATGAACAAATGTGCAGCTGGTTTTATTGCCCAAAGAATGTCTTCATATTAAAATACCAGTTGTATTCAGGGAAGTTCAAGAATTGCTGAATGCTGAGCAAGATCAAAGAGGGAAACATCCATGTCTGGATCTGATAAGAGAAACAGTATTTGGAATTTCCAACTGTGATGCTCTGGTAACTCAACAGATTTCCCACTTCGTTTACATTCATCACCCTTCAACAAAGATGTATAAACGTGTATTTCTACTTCCAACTGATTTCTGCAATCTGCGTGTGTTGGAAAGATTGTATGAAACCTAACTGCTGTGAATATATGTGTGTGTATACATACACATAGTCACACAGATAGAATGCTTGAAATAGCAACAGAGTGAGTGGAGGAGGAAAGTACAGAAAAGCAAGCCAAACAAATTCATAGCTTAAAAAGACTTCAAAACGTGGAGTTTTCACATGAAAAAATAACAGCATTTTAATGTTTTGCATAGCTTCTTTTGGTTAAGTTCTACTTAATGAGGATTTCTGCTAGTTGCTAAACTGTTTTTATATATAAACTTTCAAAACTTATCTGCAGTCAATGCAAGACGGAACACATATAGATGCAGGGCTCCAAAATACTTTTTAACTTTAGACAAGGATTTGTTATTTTACTTTGAACTGATGTAACAAAATAGCTCTCACAACATTGTATGTATAAATACACAGTGTAGTATAAGCTTTAAATTTTGATCAGTATTTTAGTCTGTTTTCCAAGTCTTCCATTCTCTTTGTCATTTCTTCCAGTAGATAGAAGTTAAGGAAAGAGCTAATGATGGCGTGCAATAATATTAAAAAATGCCAGGTGTCTGAGTCTGTCATACCCAGCAATATCTTTTCTGCTAGAGCCTGGACGATGTGCACTGACTTGGGATGTTAAATGTTACACTCAACTTTACTATGAGTGTATATCAGCATGTTCCCATTTTGTGAGCCAGTGAACAAGCACTTGGACAATGTTGGGTATGGAGCACAAATCTTACAGGAGCAGCCGAGGAAACCTGGGTTGTTCTGAAGTCTAAGGGGAGACCTTACTCTCTCAACAATTGCCTGAAGGGAGGTTGTGGCAAGGTGGTGGTCAACTTCTGTGTAACTAGCAGTATGAATAGGGAATGGCCTCAAATTGCACTGGGGGGCATCAGGTTGGACACCAGGAAAAACTACTCTGAAAGAATGGTCAAGTGTGGAATGGGCTGCCCAGGAGGGTGGTGGAGTCACCATCCCTGGAGGTGAAGAGATATGCAGATGTTGTACAGAGGGATGTGGTTTAGTGGGAAATACTGGTGATAGGAGGATGGTTAGACTTGGATTCTCTTGGAGGTCTTTTCCAACCTTGGGTAATTCTGTGATTCTAGTACTTATAGCATCATTCTTAGACGTCTCCAAGATGTACCATCTACGTGGAGGTCTTAAGGTACTAGTACTGCTAGCAAGACTCTGGAGGGCTCTGTTAGCCTGACTGTGGACAGACTGTTTAACTTCACAGTATTTCAGTCTGAAGCTGTTCTTGTCTAGGAAGCACACAAATAAGTGCTCATATATCATCGCACTTCTTGCAGAAAATAAGTGCTTACTGGTCATGTATATGATTCTCAGAAGACTTAAACAGAAGGTTAAGTCTCTGCATTCTTACTATTTAACTTGATTATGCAGAAGTAGGTTTTATGGAGAAAATCTAGGAGTTTGCTGTATATGTTATGTTTGGTGCAGAATACAGGAGAAACTCACTGTCAGTTTTCTGCTATTTTCCTGAGACCTGATGGATGTTTAACATATCATAAAGGCTACTGTACTAACAGCTCCCTTGAAAAGACAGGCTAGCTTGTAGAAGGAGGGCTATCAGTGTGCATTTAACTCCTTTTTCTGTGTGTATTCTTACAAAATTAATCAGACAGCATGTCCTTTGATTCCTCTACATTGGGAATCTTATTTAAAATGCCTTACCTAGCAGTCCAGAAGGGAAATATCTCCTGCTCCCTGTAGCTACTAAATGATCTTTTGTTATTATCTGAAGTAAACAAAGCAAAGAGTGTCAGGCTTGGTTTTTGACTAGTCATTTCTTTGCTGATCCTGAAGCTATTTACTGTTAGAAATTATTAGAAGTTAAGATCCTTATTAATATGTTTGGTCCCTTCTGTGAAGAAGGAAACCTCAAGCCTGAAGAGCCCTGCTTCCTGGAGATTGACAATCTCTAAGTAATTCAGCTTTTCATTACAGTAGATTGATTTGAGCCATGGAGGCAGCTTAGACTTGATGGGTTATAATTTCTTTTAACCTGTTCTTGATTTATGCACAAGAAACATTCTGAAAGGATATATCTCTGCTTGAGTCTTCTTACTTCGTTGGTTGCGTAGTTCTGGAACGTCACAAGGTTTTCACATTTGCATTGGTCTTTTGAAGTTTTTGCTGGAAAACAGTCAAGCATAGACAAAATGCTGAATAAATCCAGGGGACTAAGAGAGGGAAAGACAAAGATATCTAAATGCTGAGCAAGTTTAGTACAGTTTCCTGTTCTCAAAACAAGTCAACATCCACAGGAATGCCATGGGGCAGATTTTGTAAATACTGGAAAATAGTACACAGCACTCCTTAAAAGACCAGGCAGAATTACCTGAACAAAGAACCTAATTACCTGTTGTTCTTGTTGAGTGAGTGTGACTGTCTTCAAAAAGATACTTATGCTGTATTGCAAGACTGGGACAGGCAAGGACATCTGTGATTTCTACTGTGGTTGATTCAGGTCCTGCAGGAAACCCCCCAAAAGTCTAAAAATCATACCCACTTAATGGTACAATATTTTTGCTACTCACATGCAAGAGTTCTCCCTAATCAGTGAGTAATCTCACTAATTGTAGTGAGGATCATTCATGGAGAGGACTAGCGATACAAAGATGTGAAGGAACCAAGCTGTTAGGCTGTATTTACTGTGTATCTGATTTAAGCTGTGGGTTGCACAACTGAAAGGGAGTTGTGAAGGTTCTTGTGATAAACAAGTGATTGAAAGCCGAACATGCTTCATAGAAATCAAGCACAGTGTTGAAATACAAGCTGCCCTTTGAAGTAATTCATTTGGATGGTGCAAGAAGGGAGCGTGCAGCCATGCATTTGTTACAGTGGATCTCAAATTTTCTGTACGAGAAGCAGAACTGAATTACAGAAAAGAAAATAGCAGGGGAATTGGGTGGGGAAAGCAGTTCTCCCAAGTGAATTGTTAGGGCTCTCTGCAGAAGAAGCCATGCTAAGGCAGTGATTGGGGCTGACTGGGGACACAGCAGGACACTGAGTTCAAACAGCCAACCTGATGACTGAGGATTAGTCCTATGGAGCCTTCCAGATGACAGATGTTGCCGGTGAGCTGAATTTCTCAAGGCTGGTAGAAAGAAATTCTCATTTAATTAAATGAAATCACAGAAGGGACAATAAAGATGTAATTCCCTAGAAAATCAGATGTTTCTTACTTGGTCTTCCACCATATGTGGAGATGGTCTTATACCTGTGCAAGCTTCAAGAGGCCCAGTGTTGATGGACTCAGCCCTTGGCAACACACAAGGACTCACCTTTCAACTTGTCTATTGGAGTTCTCCCAGAACTGAAAGTACTTTACAAGTAGATTAACAGTGCTGAAACAGTATGAAATCACAGCAACCTACGTTGTGTCCTTTTGGTGAAAATTCTTGCACGTTGCATTGTTACCCATGAGTCTTTTGAGGGTGAACTAAATAAAAACTGCCACAGAAAGATGAAATCTTACTGTTTCGCCCTTTAAAAGGGATTTGGAAATGCTTGGTGAGAAGGGTGTAGTAGTTTCTTTAATGCACTTGTAATTACTAAAAAAAATACACGTTTCTATCTCAAGAAGTGCAGACTTCGGTCTATTTATTAGCTAAAGGGTGTCTTGACAGAAATGGAAATGTCTTTGTCAAGGGTCATTCTGCACACTGCCTGTTTCCTTCCACAAGAGGGTAATATAGAGGCGGCTTTTGTTTCTTAGGAGTTCTTTTCCAGAAAACTAAATGCTTTATTTTCAGTTAATTTTAGAGCCCTTGGGTGCACCAGTGAACTGGAAAGTGCATGCTGAACATTGCGTCAGTGCACATGAATGTCTGGAACTCCCTCCTGATTTTATAATATGTACTCAAAATTCTTTCACTGAAAGTACAGGCAGGAGGGGAAATGGTAATAGTACAATTTGCTGGTGTGCCATCAAGATGCAGCAGGCAGATGGAAGATTCTTCTGGACCTGACCTGTCATAGCTATTGGGAGCTCTATTACTATTGGTCCAGTGAGTTTTGATAAATACACAATAACATGCAGATTTATTAAGTTAAGTTGCACTGGGAAGCAGATGACATACTTGGGGTGGAAGCTGGAATGGCTGAGCACAAGGAACAGGGAATGAATGGAGATGGGGTGATGGAAAAGAGGTGAGTGACTGAATAAGAAGACTAGTGTTTACTGGATAGAACTAGAGCATTTATATACATTTAAAACACATAACTGGGACCTTGCTTGATAAACACTGAGATCTCAGAGAAAACAGTCCAGGACAGAAATATGTGGGATGAGATCATGAAGCAACGAGAAAACAAACAAGGTGATGAGTCCAGCATAAGGATGAGCAAGTAGGAACGCGGATGGAGAAATTCTACACGTAGGAGGGAAGAAACAGGTAAGGTGAACCTTGAATATTTGACACCAGGTAATGGATGGCCCTAGAAACTGCTTAAGGGCAGTAGGCTAATGAGACTGTCTAAGGTACAGGGACTGACAGGGAAAGTCTGAGCTTTGGACACTCAGGATTTGGATATAAGATGGGGAAAAAACAAGACTGAGATACACTAGGAGAGGTGGGGCAGAATGTTTCTAGTTTCTAGTCTGAAATCAGGTATTTCAGAAACTCCTTTTCAGGTTTCAGACATTAGTTTGGACCTGAAGAATTCTGTTCTCATGCTTCTGGCAAAGCTGTAAATAACCAGACAGGTACAGACAGCTTGCTAGCAGTGAGTCCTTTGATGAAGTCAGTGCAGTGAACATACATATTCAGGTTTTTTTTTTGGGGGGGAACTCATGCTAAACTGAGGTGCTTGTTTCTAATGTTCTCTTTTGGAACAAAACCTAAATACTATCTAGGGAAAAGCCCATGATAAAGTGTTTTCCAAAGCAGTGGCTGACTATTTGCAGGAGTCATAATGGTCTGCAATTTGAAAGAACAAAATGTTAACCAGCAGGCTGTTGAATGCTGTCATCTGATCAGGGCTGGAGTCTTGTGACAAACATAAATCTAACCATGTAATTAAAAGCTCCCATAACACACATGCTCTGAACAGGAGTAAAAAGGCAACTACGATGAGTGCCTATTGTATGTGACACTGCTGTAGCTTCGTCAGTGCTTCCAATCATGAGAACTGAATGTTAAATGAGGCAATGAATAGGACTCTTCCAACTGAACTGTACTTATTAATAATTCCTCTTAGTAATAGAAGAGAAAAACACATTTTCATGACTAGTCATCAGGAATAATAGTAATCAGCAGCTATTCTACAGAGCTGATGTTTTCTTGCAGAGTAAAAGGAGAAAGCCTTACCCCAAAACAGATTTGGAGGGCTTCTGCTTTGCTTAGAAACAGGCAGGGACTGGGGATGAGAGGCTTTGTCAGTGGAGTCCATGTCTGGGCTGCAGACAAGTTCAGAGGGCCCTCACAAGTTCACTGCCCTCATATGCTGGTGCCTTAGATTACTGCTCTTGCAAAGGAGGGAAAAAAGTTAGGACCAGGGAAAAACTGAAAAGAAAAAATGAACTTCCAGATTGTATAACAGGTTTGGAGGCAGAATTTCTGGTGGAGGGAGTAGATGAGCAATATGTAGTTCTGGAGTGTCCAGGAAAACAACCAGCTGGGTAAGTCCAGAGTTATCCACTGGTGTGAGGCATTGCCTAGAGGTGAGCCAGGAGGAGGCAGGCAGAAGCTCTGAGGCATCAGCTCTGCTCTGCTACTACAGATGCAGTTTAAAAACTGCCACAAAGGGGCAGGATTTACTTATTTTTCATGTTGCAAGTAATGTATTAAAAATTTTAAAAAGTTACAGCTGCTAAATATGTTGTGGGTACCTGAGGGATGCATTTCCGTCACTGAGCTCTGGGTTTGCTAATGAGTGAGAATTATTTTACCAGTTGCCAGATAATTTTGTCTTTGGCGTCCCCCCAGGCTTTTAAGATGACATGCTGTCATCAGTAGATTATCTGCCTAGTAAGAAAGTTAACGAACAGACTTGGTTTCATCTTACCATAGGATTTTGAACTTCAGAAAGATTGAGCTAGAAGATTCTTAAGAGAAGCCCAAAGAATATGCAAACTAGGAAATATTCTCACATTCTTTTTTTTTTTTTTTTTTTAAGATTCTTGGTATCTGAATGAGGAAGAAATGCGCTGCTGCTTGCCAGCCAATTGTACACAATAACACTAAGGAGTAAAGTAAAACATCTTTGCATTTAATTCCAAGAAAAAACAACCAAATAAAAGTAGTGAAAATTAAACCATTGTGTAGTAGTGCTGTGCTCAATATTATTCACTGTGAAGTTACTGTGTTTTGTTTTGAGAACAAATCTGAATGTTCTAATAATATCCAGTGCTGGGAGCATGTGAGTAGAAGAGATACACAGTCCTCTCTGGCTGTACAGATTTAATCTCAGCTCACATTCCCCCATTCCTTTGCAAAACATCAGGTGGGAATTTTTAGAGAGAGACTGGTGGTGCCAAAATGAGGAAGGGTGCTTTCTGCAACAAACCTATATTTGTGGAGCAAACCTTGGAACTTATGTACAACTGTAATCCGCTCTCTGTAGCTCTGAATGGATATTCAATGAACTATTTTTAATGTTCTATAAATATATACTACATATCTTGATAATTTGTTCCATGTTTTTGGGTAGGGTTGTTTTTTTTTTTTTTTTTTTTTTTGCTATTGAACTTAAGAGCAATTTTTTATTCTCATTAAAACTTTATGAACCCATTATTATTTTCCCACATTCCTAATGAACTAGATCACACTGCTCTGGCAGGGTGGGGTTCAGTGCTCTGCTGACTTAAGCGTAGCAAAAGGAAAGGGGAGGAAGCAATTAATTCTTCTAAGCACAGGAGTGTACATTTTATAAAAGTGTTAAGAAAATAAAGGAAAAGAAATCCTGCACCTTTACCTAGTGATAGATGGGATGTACATATTCCTTACATATTAAAAGGCAGAAAAATCACCATGAGTGACTGGCACCTTGCAATGTGTTACAGTAATGATTACGCTATGACAGAGGTCACTGTGAATAAAAGTACTCACTCCTTTAGCCTGCAAAAGAAATCTGTAAGCATGCATTCCTCTTCTATCAATTAAAGCAGAACACTGTTACCTTCACAGATCTGAACTTTCAGCTCTTCGCTTATGTCCTCCATTGCTGTGAAATCCTCAGCATAAAAGAGATGTTTATATGATGGCTCAGAAGCAATTTCCAGCAGTTCTTCTTCAATTGCTTTTCCTATTCCAATGGCATAGATAATTATACCTAGAAGAAATTGTATATAATTATTACATCAGCAGTTCTAAGCCCTTGTTCCTCCATGAAAGGAAAATATGAGTATTAGTCATTTCAGGAAGAGAACAGGAGAGCGTGAGAAATGTGTATGTGCCCTATATATTCAAAATCGTGCATGAAGAGGCACATTAATGCTTCTGTTATTTAGAAGATGTTTAGAAACTCACCGCTTTACTGTAATTTAACAGACAGATAGTTTTTAAGTTAGAGAGATGAGAGTTGCTTGGCCACTAATAGTAAATGAACCCAGAAAGAGCTCTGCAAAACATCCAAGAAAATCAGCTGCACAAAGTCTAGTTGGAGGTCAGTAACTAGCAGTGTACCCTGGGCACCAAAACTGTGGCATCTTCTAAAGTCTATGTTGCAGGCCATCAGCCTCTGTTCTTAATGCAATTTCTCAGAACACAGAAAGTGCTTTGCAAAGAAAGAAGGGATCCTTCATTTTCTTGAAAAGCTTTGAAAATTTTCAGTAATCTCTCCTGAATAGATGTAAAGTTTTTGATTTCTGTCCCAGACACATTTTGTCTTATAAGCCAGCACCTTTGAGTTACTTTATGGCAAGATCTGTCATGCTGGAAGACAGCACTGAAGTTATATGCATATGAAATGAGAACCCTTCTTCCTTCCAGAACAGCATCAGCGCTTAGACTTAGTTAAAAACACATAATATAAATAAATAAAGATATAACATAATCAATTATTAAATTATTAAACAGTGTAAACTTCCCGGTAGATTTCTGTATTTTGAAGAGACAGGGTTGTGTGTTTTTTTTTTTAATTAAGGTCTTCTTACTGTTAGAATTTTTGATGAATTTCCCAGTGTTCTCTGTATCAAGTACCTACCCTCAGAGAAATGCATGGCGTTCCACCTGAGTCAACACACTACCTGTGGATGGCACAGAACCCCAGTAGCGAGGCACTCACCATTAGTCCCACAGTAGGAATGACAGAACTCTGTAGCAATGTCTCTGTGAAACCAAAGATCTGGTGTTCTGCTACAGTGGTCACTCAACTAGTCAGACTGCTGTGGCAAGCTCTGTCTTGATTAGCAGATACTGTAAGACATCTGTACTATTACCACATCTTATTTAGCACCATATTTATTCTTCTGAAAGAATGAGAGACATCACCACTCACCACTTCTCTTTGCTCTAGCAGCCCAGTCAGAGACTTCATCTTGGGCTCGTCCATCCGTAAACACAATGGAGATTCGAGGGATGTTTGCTGACAGTGGTCTGGCTCCTTCTGTTTCTGTGAAGCTTCTCTCAAACATTTGCTTCAGAGCCAGTCCTGTCATGGAACCTCGCCCCATATATTTCATTTGTGATACAGCTTTCTTCATGTCTTTGGTTGTGCTGAACTGTCTTAATGTAAACTCTGTGCGGACTTCAGAAGAATATTGAAGCAAACCAACTCGAGCAGCTTTGGGTGAAATCTCAAGTGTATCTAATATTCCTGAGACGAATTGTTTTACAATTTCAAAATTATCCTCTCCGAGACTTTTTGATCCATCAATCACAAACACCAAATCAACTGGGCCTTCAGTGCATCCTGTGAAATAAGCAGAAGTGTTCAGATAATGAAAAAACTGCACAAAGCTGTAAATAGGACTGCATGAACACAGAGATAACCTTGAGTACCTTGTTCCTGGCTCAGCCAACCTTGCTGTGTCTGGAACTGTTTGTGGACAGTCTTTATCAAAAGCTAGGAGTGTGCCAATGATCAAAAGCTTTTAACAATAATCTAATCACAGTGTCTATCAATACGTGTCACTTTGTAGAATGCTACAACTCCAAAAAATACTGCTCTTTTTTTTTATGAGTTTGCAGTAAATCAGATTTTTAAGAAAACCTTAAGAATGGCTGAAGTGGAGAAAACTGCGTAACTGAAGAAGATCTTTAGGATATAGAAACAAAGTTTCCATCATTTTCTTCCAGGGATAGGATGCTAACATAGGACAGTATGTTAACTGTACTTGAAGATGCAGAAAACCTGAAATAAAGAGAATTGCTGAAGCTGTGTTTTCACTGCAGAAGTAGCAAAAATGTAAAGATGATATTAAAAAAAAAAAAAAAAGAGTTGCTGAAGCCACATATATATAAAAGGTGATAATCTAGAAGTCATATTTATTGCTGCAGGAAAGAATGAGGCAGGAGCCAAAGAGCTCAGGGAAGGCTGAGGGAGAAGGGTTACACAGAATGCCCTACATTTTAGGTTCAGGTCTGGAGACAGAGTATGGACAACACTCATGTTTTTATAGCACAAACTTAAATCTCTAGTGGCAGAAAAACAACTGAAAAATTAAAAGTGAAGCAGTAAATGCTAGAAGGGTTTCTAGCTGCTAATGTTGCATAAAAATGGTTTATATTCCTTGATTGTAACTATTCACTGCTGAAATTAGCTTTTTCTGTTTTATCCACTGAAGCTGGGAGACAATCTAGGAGAGACTGACAAGTTTGCAGTTCTCATACTTGGTTAAGTGCAAATGCAAAATTCAAAGTGGTTTGTAAGCATTCTGATTTGACTGCAGAACATACTGAAGACATCTATTACTGAGTCAGTGTAGGAATAAGGAATTTTCATTGATGTTTGGACTTCTCTTCTTAGGCAATATCCTTTTTAGAACTACTGTCCAAGAATTCCTTGCTGCTGAAGAAACTGCGTCAGGTACTAAAGTGATGGTAATACAATGACTATCAGAACCACTTCAGTATCACTCCATATGTCAAGATAAAGCAACAGCTCATGGTGAGCTGGGTTAACTGCAGTTGAGTTCAGTTGCAAAAATGTTTTAGTAGTAATATGCTCCTCAAGAAAGGCATACATTTTTGCAGAATATATGTTTTTACTGAGTTTCTCCTCCAGGAACTAAAAGGGTGATGCAATAAATGCATATAATGTTCTAAGCATGTCATATTAAAACGTAAGAATAAAGCGCACATCTCCTTGATAATAATGTATGTATATTTTTTTTTCCTTGACATTTGGGAAAGATTATTATTGTACTTGATGCTATATGAAAACAACTGTTCCAATTCGTTAGTTTTTTGCTTACAAGAGCATCAAGATAAATTGCTCAGTACATTTTCTATCACATTCATATATGCTTCAGGCTTTCAAATATCAGTTTTGAACTGAGGCTTTTGAAGTGAGGTCAACTAACTTAAACGCTCAAAGAAACAATTTATTTCCAAATATAATGTACTTACTTCTGCAGGTTTTCTGATCCTCTTTTAGTACGTACCCCTCCTGACATTTGCAGATGTATGAATCATCATTATTAACACAAATATGGTCACAACCGTGGGCAACTGATTTGCAGACATCTTTGCCTATGAAAAATTGAAATATTTATATGTATTCTATGTAAAATATTTATAAATTCAGAGACTCCAAACACAACATTTAAATAACACAGGTCAAAATAGAACATTTTATCTTTTCTTCCTATAGCAATGCTGAAGAATGGCGGACAGACAATATTGTTACTTACTTTGACATGTTTTTCCATCTTGTCGCAGGACAAATCCCTCATGGCACTGACAGCTGTATGAATTGTTATTATTAATGCACAGATGTTCACAGCCATGGTCAATGGACTTACACAGGTCTTTATCTGAGAATCATTAAGAGAATTTCCTTATTAGATCTATCCTTAAATGCAAAGCTGGCATGAGTCAGTTTTGAGAAAAATTAAGTCTGTAATCACTTTTTATGACTGAAAGGACATATTCCCCATAAAAGTTTTAGGTACTCACTCCTGCATGTTTTCCTGTCTCTCCTCAGTATAAATCCCTTGTGGCACTGACAAGTGTATGAATCACCAGCTGGAACACAGATGTGTTCACAACCGTGGTTGACTGTTTTGCAGATATTTTTACCTGGGAGTAATGAAAATTATATTTAGCACAGTTAGCTACATAAATAGCTTTCACAAAATATAAAAAACTATAACAATAATCTTCCATGAAGGAGCTCATTTCCAAGAAACTGACTTCATTTTATTCTGTGAAGCTGACTGTTAAACACACAAAGAGCACACCATATAAATAATACGTTTCATTAATAGATCAGAAACTACATAATGAAGACTAAGCAACTTACTTCTACAAGTTTTCCCATCTTCCCTCAGTATGAAGTCATCATGACACTTGCAGATATAGGAATCATCAGTGTTAACACAAATATGTTCACAGCCATGGTTAACTGACTTACAAACATCTTTATCTGAGGAGAGTGGACAGTTTGCTAGGTGAGGTTCTTCAGGGAGAGATAATATCTTTTATTTAGCAGATCAAGTAGTTAGGAATCACAAATAAACATATTCATGCACAAACTCTCACAGCCACAACACTTAGAAGACATAACACTTAATAAAAAAAAAATATATTCTTATAGCTCAGGCTACTCACATTTACATGTCTTTCCATCTTCCTTCAGTATGAAATTTTCATGACACTTGCACATGTAGGATTCTTCTGAATTCACACAAACTTGTTCACAGCCATGGTTGACTGAACTGCAAATATCCTTGTCTGCCATCAAAAGAGTTGGCAGTTAACATATATCAGCAGAGGCCTTGATTATGTGTGTTGTTCATCAAATTAAGTTCTTATGCTACCTACTTTTGCAGGTTTTCCCATCTTCTCTCAGTAGAAATCCATCATGGCATTTGCAAATATATGAATCATCAGTATTAACACAAACATGTTCACAGCCATGGCTGACTGACTTGCAAAGATCTTTATCTAAGAACAGATGACAGCTCTTGCTAGTTAATACATTTCTACACGATCTTGAATTGCAGATAAAAAGTATGCTGATAAATACCAGACTACTTACTTCTGCATGTTTTTCCATCTTCTCTTAGAAGGAATCCCTCCCGACACTTACAAACAAATTTATCACCAGCATTAACACAGGCATGTTCACAGCCATGGTTGACTGATTTGCAAATATCCTTGTCTGGAAATAGATAAAATTTAATGTGATTTGCTAGTTAAACTTTTTTTAATTTTTCATAAAGACTGCAGGGGTAATCCCATCAGCAAAGAAATATGGAAGCATGCACACTGAAAGCTAGTTAAAGGATTGACAGCTTACCTCATATGAGACACGAGTTCTTTACTGTCTGAGCAGAAAGAACTACATGGTTTGGATGGTCTCCCAGTGATGATGAATCATTTTAGGACCAATATGACTAGATTAAGAAAGAGGACCTTACATTGGCAGCAGGAAGAGTAAAAGAAGGAATATTTAGTATAGTTACTTAGGAAAAATTCATGCTAGTGAAAACAAAACTGAACAAGAAAACACAAGACATGAAGCAAAGTGCTCCTTTAGGATTCTTACATCAATGCTAAAAATCTGCACAAGCAAAACCCAGGAGTGTAGGAACTACTGATTTAAGGGGATAAAGAAAATCCACCAGTATTGGGGAAAACTGATGAGGGGATTTCTATGAGTGCAATGTTAAAGCCAACTGGCCATAATCTCTTCAAGAAGAACAGAGAAAGTAGAAAAGGAAGTCATTCCATCTATCAGCATTCCCTGTTCCTTTCTCACTGCAACAAAAAAAGAAAATATTCTCAGTTGATAATACAACCTTTACACGGGAAGTACAACAGTGGATGCCACTAACAGCATTCAGTTTTCAGGTTAGAATTACAGAATCGTATCCCAAGTTGGAAATGACCCACAGGAGTCATCAAGTCCAGCTCCCAGCTCCACACAGAACCACTCCAAATTCCAACCCCGTGTCTGAGATCTGTCCAAACGCTCCCTGAACTCCGGCACTCGGGCCGTGCCCACTGCCCTGTGCAGCCCGTTCCATGCCCACCGCCCTGTGGTGCAGCCCCTGTCCCTGACC